ATCGCCAAACTTTCTGAATGCTGATTGGCCGAAATAACAGTCTAGCACATTGACTGGTTCAATCCAGACCAATCGGTTGAGTAGGTCTCAACTCTGACCTGCGACCTTTAAAACTGTGGCATTTTAAGGTAACTAAGTAAATGGGAAATAGTTATTTAGGACATTTCAGTGTTAGGGGATGTCTTGTCTTGATGTCTTGTCTATTCCCCTCGAAAGTCAAGAAAACACTATATCTCTTTATACATTTTTATTAAAAACAATAATTGTTTTCAAAAGTTGCATTTATGTTACAACACTATAAATGACCTGACTCTATCATGTGGAAATAACTATAGCCTTTTAACTGGTTCAATCTTCATCGGTATGCACTTTCCAATTCAAATCCAATTGGATGTCGTTTATTTACGAAATAAACGATGTTTAATTGGTCGCTTCCAGCAACTTGTTTTTATTGATGCCAATGTGAACTGATCAACAATGATATCCTCGTAGAATCGACAAGTCATAAGATGCTGTCTTTACCGAAACTGAAAGGTATTTGAAACCAAAAATGTTATGTTAAGAACTTCCATGGTAATAGGCTATCATAGAGATGCCGGGAAGGGCGGTCCAATTGTTTATGCAGAAATCATAGTTTAGGAACAAAATAGCTATATAATATAGGATACTTATCGATATTTTAACTCATTGTATATGTCTGTAATCTCAAACGAAATCATTAGAAAATAAAAATTAAAAAAGGGTGGTCGGTACCAGGTGGGAGGTGCGGTAGAGGCAACATCGCCTCTCCTCCATACAAATCAATTAGCTTAAACCTTTTCTATCGTATAGTGAACAATTGCACACATTTTTACACACACACACACACAAATCTATCACCCCACCCTTGACTCTCTAGTGCCAAATGCAATCATTAGCAATAATTATAAAATGGAGAGAGGACTCTTACATGTTTCATCGTTTTCAATCTACCGCCCCTTCCCCTTTTTTGACGAAGAAATGACTAAAATAGAAAAGTCAAATATCACGATAGAGTCTAAGTAATAATGCTTGTCATAATTATTTAAAGAAAAGCTTTATTTTGGAAAAGTTGAAGCATTAAGGTAATAATTGAGATGAGTTTTGAACCCAAAAATGTGTTTTTTTTCTAGTCGCCTTTTCCCAACCTTTACTCCATCGGAGATTTTTGTAGTGTAGAAATAGGTTTGGAACTATAATCCAAAAATGACACAAACTTGAGAGTAGAATCGAGTCGGTCCTCCTCCATCTTCCGCATGTTTTTGTTCAGAGCTTTGAATTCTATGTTTGTAACAACGTTCTATTGACGTCTGATGCTGACCAAAAATAGGTTTATTACAAAAGGTCTTCACTTAATGATAATATTACGATAAATACTCACAATAAAGACATACTTGTGCCTCGATTGTCAGTCACACTTCAGTATCGACCCATGCACCCACGTTAATTTATTTTACTAATTTGACCTGCTTTTTTAAATAGGAGTACTGAGTTGTAGATGTCAGGAGAAAGCGTTACTGCATCCCTGGATCCACCAGTGCAGAGAGTAAGGGTTTATTGGGTGTTTGGAAAACAATGCCCCCCCCCCCCCCTCAAAAGTTCTCTATCCGCTAGTGCCGGCGATACTAGATCTTCTTTAAGTATTTGTGAACTGGTTACAACTGACTTGTTCCTTTTTAGCGGTCTCCAAAAGGGGAAAAGACGCTATTAGTTTTGTGTGGCCTGTCTGTCCGTCCGTCCCTTTTAGATCTCAGAAACTAGAAGAGAAAATGAAAATCGGACATCATGATATTTTAGATAATTCAAAGTTTTTTTTTTATAAAAATACACCATTTTTACAACTATTCACTATTAATAGTAACAAACACTGGAGGCTTTTTAAACACATTCACGCTAATGGTTTTAGATTTTTTATCAAAAAATATTATTTTTTACAAATGTATTGCTAAGTTATGTAAGTTCTGTCATACTAAATACTACATTTACAAAAAAAATTAACTTTTTTTTTACAAAACAATTAGATACCCATTATAAGACATCAGTTAGGAGAGGTTCGCATCTAACTTCACATTCACTTTCACCTATCCCTTGGTCTGCTGTCAACCTTCTTTCTCCATTCTTCTCTGTCATTTGATTTGATAGAAGTTCATTATATTTAAACCTGTCTTTTTACCTGCCTGGGTGGACCACTTCTGATATAATTTAATGCCGATATTCTTCTGAAAATATTGAAACCAGCCTTTTTTCCTGCCAGGGTGGACCACTTCGGGGGCCGATTTTGAGTTTGTTTTTCCACACAAACTGTCTTTGTAATCTTGTTATTTTCTTGTTTTCTACTTTTGCTCTCCCATCTAATCAAAAAGTTTTTATAGGGAAGATTTGAAGGGAAAGCTGAGGGTGGTGACACCGTGAAATTACCACACCGGGTGTCACTCACACTAGTGACGCCAATGGATCTCCCAATTACTTTTTACACGCTTTTTTTTTAGCTCGTCTACTGTTGTCAATACTAGCGATTCGGTACTTTGAAATCGGTAGAATATGTTGGCAATTTTGACCAGAACTTTATTTGTATATATTTTCACCAATAGAACGCCACGCCATGTCCCTTCCCTCGAACCACACATTCTAGTAGCCCTTAAAAAAACAAAACACATTTTGAGTTGCTCAATAACTTAACACTCCCCTTTCCGTTATTCCTCTTAAACCTATAAGTATGTATATACATATATAATTCTCTTCATGGCTCAACAGTTTGGACGAGACGTAAAGGAAAGATCACTCTTTTATTTCTGAAAGTCGGGCTAGAGTTACCCCACGTAAAAAAAGAGGGGGGGATAGTAGTATTTACCCATCACTAAATAGCAGGGCGGACTTAACCATAGTGGGCCCCAATGCGAAAAGGATTTCACAAGGCCAAGTTTGGGTAGGAATACGGATAATAAGTGAACATTAAGAGTTTGTATTAGAAAATATATTGGTTTTTGCATTTTATTCCTTTTTACAACGCACAGATTACTACACGAACCTTGCATGTGGCGAAGTCATACAGTACATCAAAAGAGTTCTGTTTCCTACATAGATCACGCTCAATAGAAAGAAAAATCAAATGTTTCAATCTATCTACGAGTATTGTTGACCTCACGTAATTCTTCATTAGTTTGAGGCGCGAAAAGCTTCTTTTACTAAATTCCAAAATTACGGGTATTGCATAATGCCGTTTTTTTTTATCGCCCGTAGGATTGGCGTTTTCCATACTGAATGACACCCCAAAATGACCATTTTTGTTTATATATATTTCAGGAGATATGTATGAGTTTTCAAAACATTTAAAACTTTCCGGATATTTCCAGGACTTTTCGTATATTTTGCAATTTCAGGAGATTTCCAGAAGCTCCTGGTAAATCGACATTTTCAAATGTTCCTTTACTTGACGAAGGGATTAGTGTAACATGAAAGTGGACCCAGACTTCAGGACTACAGACGGATTTAAAAGTCAATTTAAAAGTCAATAGGTTATATTCTTCCAGCTTAGACTAGTCAACGATTATAAGTCATCAGATTGTCCCATCGTTTGAATCACTCTGAGTTAAATCATACCAACTCTCCAACTGTCAAACAATATATTAACAATTCTTTTTTAAAAAAGCTTATATCAAGTGTAATTGTATCAATTAATTTGACGCAATCATGCAATTAATTTGTAATAATAACAGACAGATCTTTGTGGAGACAGCTTGCCGCCCAAAGCGCCGAACGGCGCGGGAGGATCTGTCTAAGTAAGTCCAGAGCAGTGATTCCTAAAGTGGTCTATTTAGACCCCCCCCCCCCCCCCCGGAGTCTACGAAGACTTGTTAGGGGCCTACGAAAGTGAAAAAGTAAATTGGGGGTCTATGAAATGTGTACGGGGTCTATGATAATGAATCTTATTTCAGCAGGTCGTGACTTTAATTTTGAAAATGGAATTTTTTGATACACACATTTATGATTTGTACCTTTGAAAATCCTTAAAATTGTTATCCAGCTCATTGAATGAAAAGTTGCTATATATTTAATTTAATAACTCTATTTAAGTAGCGTAATTTAATCTAGTTGTAACTTAAACAAAAAGAAATGTAGACTGTACAGCGTTAAGTAGGCCTATTTCAAACTTGGATTTCATTCCTTCCTAATCAAACAAGCGAGACTTAGCGAGAGTTTATGTGCTATTTTTTTATGACGCTATGAAACGAATTAAGCTGAAGGATAATTTGAGATGACGACACCCAGATACAAAGATAAAGGCTTGAAAAACTTTCAAACACTTAAAGATAAAGTTCAGAAAGCACCTACAAAATCTCTCTTTGACGAGGGGGGGGGGGGGGGTTTGAGGGTATTTTTTCTCCCCTCCCCCGCAATATATATATATATATATATATATATATGTATGTATGTATGTATGTATGTATGTATGTGTGTGTGTATGTGTGTGTGTGTGTGTGTGTGTGTGTGTGTGTGTGTGTGTGTGTGTGTGTGTGTGTGTGTGTGTGTGTGTGTGTGTGTGTGTGTGTGTGTGTGTGTGTGTGTGTGTGTGTGTGTGTGTGTGTGTGTGTGTGTGTGTGTGTGTGTGTGTGTGTGTGTGTGTGTGTGTGTGTGTGTGTAGATAATTAATCTTTATTACATGTTGACCCTTCATTCTTTCGAAAGACGTTTATTGTGCCTTACAATAGGTTCTTGAAGGTTAGCTCAGAAATGTAAGTAGATTCTAGACTTTTGTTTAATGTCAACATATTAACTCAGAAATATAAGTAGATTCTAGACTTTTGTTCAATGTCAACATATTAACTCAGAAATATAAGTAGATTCTAGATATTTGCTTAGTGTAAACATATTAACTTGGAAATGTAAGTAGATTCTAGACTTTTTAAAAATGTAAACATATTAACCCAGAAATATAAGTAGACTCTAGATCTTTGCTTAATGTAAACAACAAAGTCAATAGTGTACAATTATTCAATAGAGTTTTTAATATAAAACTGCAACATTGCTGAATATTTTCATGACATATACTTTCAGTTTTGTAATGCTCACTAACTTAGTGTACAAATAGAGTAAATATATACAATCACAAATCAAATATATTTCATATTTATATTCTTACACAAATAAATTAATCTCGTACACATATTGACCTAAATTGCACTACTGTATCAAATATGTAAAAAAAAATGTATAAAACATTGCACCCATTATTAAAACATTGCACACAAATACCAACATATTAAATGTAAGTAAACAGTTTTTTAAAATATAGAATTAAATGTCCATGCCGTGAATTGATTGATATACAAATACAACGTTGTTTAGTTTATAAATCAAACAAAGATTTGTTAAGTCTGGTGTGTAGACAGTCATTAAGTGGTGGTGTGTAGACAGTCATTACGTGGTGGTGTGTAGACATTACGTGGTGTTGTGTAGTCATTACGTGATGGTGTGTAGTCATTACGTGGTGGTGTGTAGAAAGTTATTACGTGGTGGTGTGTAGTCATTACGTGATGGTGTGTAGTCACTACGTGGTGGTGTGTAGTCATTATGTGGTGGTGTGTAGTCATTACGTGGTGGTGTGTAGTCATTACGTGGTGGTGTGTAGACATTAAGTGGTGGTGTGTAGTCATTATGTGTTCAAAGTCCATTGAAAGTTTGGATATTTTTTTAAAGAACGTTGTTCTAGACACAGTTGTATATCACGTGACTTATGTAATAATATATGGACACAAAACTTTCGTTAATTTATAGTTATAAAAAAATAAATTAGGCTGTGACGGTTTATAGAAATTGACATAGACTCATGTTCGGCGTTCTATTTTGTCAAGTCTTCATTCGCTTGCTAGGATTTCCTTTTTCTTATTTCTGATGGTTTTTTTCTGTCGCAATTTTCTGACTTCAACGTTTTCGTGAGGATTTTAGTTCAGAAATAGTTTTACTCCGAAGTTTAAATTTGATAAATAAATAGATAACATAATATATAAAATGAAAACAAAAATTTTATACACTCTTATACACTCCCCCCCCCCCCTCAACAATACTGCTTTTCTGCACTTTTCAGACTCAATCTCAATGTCATTCTCAGCTTCAATTTTCATTCTCAGTTTCATTATCAATTTCATTCCCAATTTCAACTTCTTTTCTCAATTACATTCTCAATTTCAATTTCGTTCTCGAGTTCAATCTCAGTTTCATTATCAATCTCAATGTCATCTATAGAATGATTCTAGGCTTCAGATCCTTAGAATTCCAACTATCTCCATAATTTTAAGAGAGCATATTCATTGAATATTTCTCCAGATAGAGTTCATTCCCTTCAATTCAACAAGAGCCACAGAAAGTTGAACATGTTAAGTGCATGATCCCAGAATGACTTCCATGTGAAGGAGCAGACAACACAAGAAACTGAAAGGAGCCTGTATGTATACACGAGAAACTGAAAGGAGCCTGTATGTATACACAAAGATTCTTACAGGAGCGAGTGGCTCAGACATGAAACAAATTTTAGGAATAACCAAAAGTAAATGTATTCTTTTTAAATACCTTCACACAGTTAAAATAACTGAAGCCTATAATGAATTTACAAACGTTAGTTTTAGAAAAGAATTAGAAATAAAGACTATTTCAAATGATCTAGATTTAAAGCAGAATGCATCTCCTTAGTGTTTGGTCAACTTCCTCGCAAATAAATACATTCAAAGTTTCAATGTATTATCACAAGTAAATAGTAACAAAGGGAGACTATTGTATATATCATACACACACACACTTGAAACACTTCAAGAGAGAGGACTTTAAAAATAGAGATAAACCCTGACTAGATAAAAATTAAAATAATATAGTACTTAAAAAACATTTCATATTTCATATGAAAGAACAAACATTTAAACAAACAAAAAATGTTTTTTGAAGCAACATTTGGCCAAAAAAAAAAATGTAGGTCTAAATTCAAGAATAATAATTCTGTAAAAGTTGACTAAATATGTGACAAGTGGGACACACACACACACACACACGAACAAGGAAGGAGACAAAAAAAGAAAGAAAAAAAAACTGTCAAATTTTCGACAAAGTCTGTGACATGTTGTATATGTGTGTGTGTGTGTGTGTGGCATTGAGAGTTTACTCGGTTGTATTCGTTCAGTATAAATTAGAAAAAGAAAATAAGGAAGAATTCAATGGAAGAGAAATACAAATGTACAAATCAACAGTGTCTAGATTTTCCTTCTGTCTAACACAAGCCTTCCGTTTCACTTTTCATTCGAGTACGTCAACACAAGCATTGAAAAACATTTGCTCTGCATTGAATGACTCATCACTGAACGGTGGGCTCTTCAACAAAATAATATTCCATCAATACATCTCTTGTACACGTGTTTGAATCTACGATCTAACAAAGTCAACAGGTGAACTGTTTAATTGCGTGCTTTGATAATATCAGAAATAATCTTATCCTGATCTACAGTCTCTAAGATATGTGGGGCATTAATGAGAACGCCCAAGGTACCTCCCAGTGACACCAGAATGAAGATGATCATCATGAGTCGATCTAGTACAGCAGCAAGATATTTCCAGTCGTCTAGAACCTGCAATGAACATCAAACGAACATTTGTTAACAAAAACTGAAAATAGATGTCTAACAATATTCTTGTAAGATTACAAGACCTGGTGTCCTAATGATCTTCCTGCTTAAATAGACCTCAATACAATCATAGAACAACTCTTCCACTGTCACTTACTGTGTTGTCATTCTTACAAATTCTTACAAGTGTCACTTACTGTGTTGTCATTCTTACAAAATCTTACAAGTGTCACTGTGTTGTAATCCTAACAAATTCTTATAAGTGTCACTTACTGTGTTGTAATCCTCGTTGTTTTTCATCTGCCGACAAATAAATTTGATGGCGTTACTGGCACTGTAAAGTTCTCGAGTTAAATCTATAGGACTTAAATTTGGATCAGAGAAGGCCATTAATTTGGATATTTCTGAAGGTTTTGCCTGACACAAACTCTCTTCTGATTGGCTAGTTCCCGGATCTCTCAAAATACATCGATGCCCATTAGTTGGAAGATTAGGTGGAGCAAATTCACGCATTTCGATTGTTGGACTTTCTGTTGGACATAAAAAATTGTTTCATAGCATTGAACAAATTAGAATTAATTTCTCTTTTCAGTGAGGCCATAGAGATATGAAGATATATTTATTGTATATGGTGACAATTTAGATTTCTGCAATAATATAGGTCAGTGCTGTCTTACTTCTTAACAATGTCTTTCAAAACAAAAACAAAGAATGTGCTACCAGTAACCAGCCCACCCCTGCCTGATAACCTCACACATGTTAGGTCTAAAATTCTAATTCAACTCTAAGATAATAGAACTTCTCTTTGCAAAGATAGTTTTATACTTAAACACAAATGGTAAATACATTTAGATCTAGTAATAACATTACCATCAGAAGAAAAATGACTCCCTGACGCTGATGATGAGAGTGTGACGCCAGGCGAATGACTCTTTTTGAATTTCTGTCTCCAAGCATTGACTCTTTCATTAACTCTTTCATTTTCTCTGTGACAATAGATCAAGACAATATTAAACAAATAAAGAGATATATACACAAAACATTAGATACGAAAAAAAGACATTAAAACGGGTAATGGTAGATGAGACAGTACACGGTCAACAATGAGACAAGAGACAACAAAATGGGCAGTAAGACAAAGAACACAGAGAATGCAAGATATCTAGACTATAAAGTAGAGTGTAAGGTGTATGTATGTTCCCAATAGAAATCAAAATCGTTTGACCAATCTTGATGAAACTTTGCACAAATGTTCCTTTGGGGCTAACTGGAACCGTGACGTATGTATAGTAGCCCTAAAACAAACTTAATACCCTCAAAAAAAAAGTTGCCCAATTCTATGAAAGTATTAGTATTTGATGAATCAAAGCCATGTTTACCATGTTTAAATCAAAAGGATCTAGATCTAATTGTTAAAACTACACTTTGCACAGATAGTTTTTTACTTTGACACATGAAAATACAAAATATTGTCTGTTGATTTCATTATTTAACAAAATTAACCTTCAAATTTGTGTTTCAAAAACATTTCTACATAAATTCGTTCCTTATATCTGCGAATTTAGAATTCCTGACGTACATTCTTTCATTAGACAAGACCGAAATGTTACACATCTCTCTATTCCTAGGTCTAAAACTCTAATTCAACTCTAAGATGATAGAACTTCTCTTTGCAAAGATAGTTTTATACTTAAACACATAAACATACTAATTATAGTCCATCCATTTAATATTTTAATCAAATTAACATTCAAATTGGTTTTTCTAAAGCATTTTTTCATACATTCGTTTGATATAGCTGCTAAGTCGTATTGACATACATTTTAATAGTTCCATTCATGATTCCGTACATCAAACAAAAAAGGTCACGCATGCGCAGAGCGAAGCCTCCAAGAACGCGCAGAAAGAACTCTATCCAAGCCAATATTTAACTCTAGATTAGTCTAGATCTAGGCTATCTCTAACTCAAGATCTAATTTTAAAGACGATAGATCTACTTTATACTTTAACACTTTAACGAATGAGCATACAAAATAAAGTCTATTCATTTCAAATTTTAATCAAATAAATGTAGACCTACAAGCAAATGTTTTTATTTGAAAAAATAAATTTAGGTCAATTAGCTATTTTGATAGCTCCATTTATACTATTTTTACATTCACGCTTTCACTATACTTATAACATTATTATTTCGATTAATTGTTTACAAAACACTTTCAGTGACTATATCGACAGTGATACGCAAATAAAGACCCGGGGGCAACATATGGCTAGTAGGAAATATAAGACAAGATAATACGGTCAATAAGTTGAGAATACTTTCATTCAGTATATGTGAACCCAAACCTGAGATCTAAGTTTGTTGTTGCTATGTTATGTGAACCCAAACCTGAGATCTGATTGGTTGCTATGTTATGTGAACCCAAACATGAGATCTGATCTTGTTGCTATGTTATGTGAACCCAAATATGAGATCTGATTTGTTGCTATGTTATGTGAACCCAAACCTGAGATCTGAGCTTGTTGTTGCTATGTTATGTGAACCCAAACATGAGATCTCAGCTTGTTGTTATGTTATGTAAACCCAAATCTGAGACTGAGCTTGTTGTTGCTATGTTATGTGAACCCAAACATGAGATCTGAGTTGTTGCTATGTTATGTGAACCCAAACCTGAGATCTGAGCTTGTTGTTGCTATGTTATGTGAACCTAAACCTGAGATCTGAGTTGTTGTTGCTATGTTATGTGAACCCAAACATGAGATCTGATTTGTTGCTTTGTTATGTGAACCCAAACCTGAGATCTGAGCTTGTTGTTGCTATGTTATGTGAACCCAAACATGAGATCTGAGTTGTTGCTATGTTATGTAAACCCAAACCTGAGATCAAAGTTTGTTGTTGCTATGCTATGTGAACCCAAACCTGAGATCTGAGTTGTTGCTATGTTATGTGAACCCAAACCTGAAATCTAAGTTTGTTGTTGCTATGTTATGTAAACCCAAACCTGATATCTGAGCTTGTTGTTGCTATGTTATGTGAACCCAAACCTGAGATCTGAGTTGTTGCTATGTTATGTAAACCCAAACCTGATATCTGATCTTGTTGTGTGTGCTATGTTATGTGAACCCAAACCTGAGATCTGAGTTGTTGCTATGTTATGGAAACCCAAACCTGATATCTGAGCTTGTTGTGTGTGCTATTTTATGTGAACCCAAACCTGAGATCTGAGTTGTTGCTTTGTTATGTAAACCCAAACCTGAGATCTGAGCTTGTTGTTGCTATGTTATGTAAACCCAAACCTGAGATCTGAGCTTGTTGTTGCTTTGTTATGTGAACCCAAACCTGAGATCTGAGCTTGTTGTTGCTATGTTATGTGAACCCAAACCTGAGATCTGAGCTTGTTGTTGCTATGTTATGTGAACTCAAACCTGAGATCTGAGCTTGTTGTTGCTGTAGTCTTTGGTTTTTGTCTTCTCTGTTGATTCTCAGGAACTGGCTGACGAACAAATAAATTTGCCCTCGGGACCTTGGAAAACATAAATAATTACTTGTCAACATTAAGTAGAAACATAAACATTGGTTTAGTTCAGGAAATTTTTATTGAAGTCAGTGTGGGATGTATGGCCGAGAGACTAAGTACGCATGAACTCGGATTGGCTTGCTACTAAAGGGGCTTTGACTACTTATCAAGAGAGCTTGGCTACCTACTAAGGGGACCTTCTCCCAGATACCCCCTCACCCCACTGGTCCACAAATGAGATTGCACCATGGCGCTCTAAGCATGCCATAATCATGAAAGTTATACAATAGCTATTTTGAGGAAAATAAAAATAAAAAATAACT